TACAAACAAATTGGGGTGATTCTCAATATTCTTAATAATGAATTGTGAAGAAAATTATGCCTACTTTAGGGAGCTTCATTAATGAGCAAGAAGCATATAGATCGGCTTTCTTCCTAAAATTGCGCTGTTGAGGTGGTTGAATTGAAGATATCATAAAAGAAGTAGGGTCATTGTGAGAAGGCTGTGATATAGGGGGATATTCTTCTTTTGAGAGATAGTCGTTGGTAAAAGGTTTGTCCAGTGAAAAGAGATCCAATTCTGTTTTAGAATTATAGTGGAGCTAGGGAGAAATAGAAAAAATCGAGGTGTCAATGCTAATAAGAAAGTCATTTTTGAATTGGATAAATGGTAAAGAATTGATAGACAATGGCTAAGCAAGGATTCTTAGGAATTACAGGACATGGCGCCGATAGCTTCTACACTCCAAACGACAGTCATGATGATTCGTTTTTGGCTGCAAATGAAGCTAATATACGAACCTCTTACACCCATCTTTTTAAATGAAATGAAAGATGTAGCACGAATTTAAGAAGATATCCTTCAAAAACTCAGAATTGTTACATATGCCTTTAAGACGCCTAAGATAATAGAATATATATTAATATTTTCAATACTCCCAAAACACCCTTCATTACCTCACCAACAGATTGATCAATATTATCCTGATTCCGATAATAAGAAATAGCCTAAATTTAATTGCGAAATAATCACACAAATTTCTGCGCAAACTGTTAGCAGATAATATATTTAATAAAGAAATAACTGCTAATTATTATAATGTGTTGCGCACTATTGCCAGAACAAATGCAATTTAGAAAATAGCAAAAAAGTGAGGTATTCATTGAACATTAATTCACTTACATCTATTTCGACGGCCGGAAGATAGAAGACACTGATGTCAATCATCTTAAGTGCCGGGTCATGAGTCAAAAAGCGCCGATATCTGTCCAAATATGCAGCTAAAAAGTCCTCCTCTAAAGAAGCCCCCCATACACAACTACCGCCTCCACCAACGACACCCATTGCACCAACAGCAGCATCACCAGCCACTGTGCTTGGAAGATGGCAATAATCAGGGACAGGAGCACCCACAATGGAAAACTGATGTACGTTATTTAAAGTAGGCTGCTGTTGCTTTTGAAATTGTTGCAGATGTTGTTGCTGCTGGAGCCCGGATGCACGAAATAAGTGACGATTCTGCCCAGTAAGACGCGTTAATTGGCTAGTTAACGGGAATGGCATACTGGGGACACCTAATAGATTGGAATTAGCCCCCGGAAAAGCTAAGTTGGGTATTGTGTTAGGAAATTGGACGTTCACAGAAGACGCAGCAGCATAAGATGTGATAGAAGAGCCAGCACCACCAATAGTAACACCGGTTCCGGAGGGAAAATTTGGAGACTGAAGTCTAGGATGAAGTACACAGCGGCCCAAATCGACATTGATGCGCACAGCGAGGTTCAAATAAAGGCTTGGCTCAGCCGTAGCTCGTATAGGCTCAGATGATGGGTGTCTCAATGGTTCATGAGAATTGATCAATACTCCACTTGGCAGACCTGTAGATAATTCCGAGTGCTGTAATGCGCTAAAGGCAGAAGCCAAAGTATTCAAGGGTGCAGACTGATTGATTAAGGAGAGTCGGGGTGGTGGTGGTGGTGGAGGCGGTTGTTGCAATGGTATTGAAATGCCATCCGATGTATCAACTAAATTTAGCTGGCTGAATAGTGAATGTGAGGGAACCATGTTGATGGAACGATTTATGTCAGAAATAGCTGGATTAAATGAGGGAGGGAGATAAATTGGTGGCGTCTTTGATGGCCGGCTGGTGAGAGGAAGTTTGCCACCATCATCTTCAGAATCCAAAGCATAAGGATCTTCTTCAGCAAAAAAATAGAATTCTTCCTTATTCTCATTCTGATCCATTCCATTTTCATAAAGTGCTTGTTGAACATTTTCAACTGCAATGCCAGAAAGAAACTCAGGTTGGCTGACAAGGCAGAATTTGGCAACTGAAAAAAATAATTAAACTCTCAATTAATGAAGTTGAATAGAGGTGAATGACACGACAGCAAACTAGAAACAAAGGGATGGCAAGATTCAGTAAACAAGAATAGAAAAAATTCCTGAAGTATTTTCTGCAATCCCAAAACAAATATACCGGCTATACCAAGGACCTACGGATTTGAAAATATTCAGGACCAAAAGATTTCAGGGGGAGATATTAAACAAGACTATATGGAAGTTTCACTACATAATGATACGTTTCGGGTGGAATAAAAGTAGATAAAAGCAGCTAAGTACTCAGGAGCAAAGATCAAAAAATTTGGAGGATTAGCAAATTAGATAGAATTGATAGGCTTTGGAGGTCCTGCCAGATATAACTAAAATTTAAAACCTCAGAATTAAAGATGACCCATTTTCTCGTCGTTCAAAACATCATGAGATTATCGCCTGATCGAACATTGACAAAATAGAACAATAGCCAACTCTCGTTTGAATTCAGAGGTGGCAATTATTACGAGGTTGCCAAGATGATGCCATTTTATGGATTTTTTAACAAAAAACGAAGAAAGTAGTTTTATTGAATTCGATCCCGCCATGTATCCTATAAAGTCGGTATTATCAAGGCTATCTCAGAGAGCAACTCGTTTGTCCATTAATCCTCATTCCCACAATTCTAATCCCACTCTGAGCTTAAACAAATAAAAGACTGCGGGATATCGAGGCATTCTACTCAAAATAAGTTTGCAGAATTCAATGAGCTAATAATTCTAAACAAGTTCGCATCCACGATTGAACTAGTCCAGTCTAAATAACATAGTAAATCAAGCTGAAATCGAAACGAAGATGCAGGGATTTACAGGTAAAAAAGCGAACTTAAGAGTTCTCTGTCCTAGAGCCCTAGATTAAAGTGCCCTGTTAAAACTCGCATTTTAGACAATTGTGATCAAAAACGTACTAATAAAAGAGATATAAATCAAGAAAAAATTAGGAGAACGGTTGTTTATGAACCCCAAAACCACCTTTCCAATTTCAATGTGCGAAAATGAGACTTAAATGGGGCCAAATTTGTTCATCCGGATGAAAACAAACATTGAATATTTAATAAATTCATATCTCGAAAACCTACTCAAAAAGAATAAATTCATTCAACATAATTTGTCTAACATATAAGAGTAGAGCATATACTGATACACATAAACGCTATGTGGTCTTCGTTCCAAAAAGTGCCAATCGAATGACGAAGGATAACTAATTTGGAATATATACCCTTAATGAAAGATCAATTACTATTCCAAGCCCTAATGATCATGCGCCTAACTCTGCCATTTAAATTACTTCTAGGGGCTAAAGCGTTTGATTAACTTTGATTTTACCTTAAATGTTTACTTTGATTAAGAATTGTCGGTCTCCTACCTTTGGCTTAAAAGGAATAACTATAGATACGAGAAAATAAGGTCATCCTTTGCCCCGAGATATACATCATGAATTAAGGAATGTATGCCTTAAACGAAATA